ATTGGCGTTCTAACGAATTAAAACAAACATGCAAGTCACTACAAGCAGCAGCTCTGCAGAGACAGGTGCACATGCCGCACTGACATGTATGTGCACTCACATACTACTACTACTACTACTACTACTACTACTACTAGGCGAAGGGTCTCGGCTGGAGCCTGACAGGTGCCGGTAGTGCCTTGCGAGGGTTCATGGCGTTTTCTTTACTCTGCTTGGCTTTCCTGTTTTACTGCACGATGGAGACTGATCAACAGGGCACTTTGCGTCGAGGCCAGCTGTGCGGGTCCCAATTCCTGCAACCAGCGACAGGACAAGATTCAATGAGAGAGCACCAGCTGGTAGACCTGAGGGTTGGACGAATTACCGCAGATCGTCCGGGAGTCTTGGATACACCTGGTGTGTCAGGGACGAAACATTCCGGGAAGGGCAAACAAACTACATCAGCTCCCCACTGGACACGGAAACGAGCTCTGCGTCGGGCTCGGAATAGGGCAGAAAGAAACAATGGAACGATGTACAGAGGGCAATGGCATTCACCTGAAGCTTTAGGTGTGCGCTCGAGTGGCTTTGCAACGAGCAGGAGACAGCCAGCTGTAGTGGTTCCACCAACTACAAACCGCATCGGAGCGCGTCGCCTGCGATTTATGTCCTACAACTTAGGAGGGCTAGACCCGACAGCGTACGACGTATTCAAGACATGGCTTGGGGAACAATGCGTGGCTGATATTGTGGTGGTTCAAGAGCTCCATTTTGGATGTGGCCGTGAAGATGCACACTGGTGCATGGATTCTGGCTGGCGTGCGTACATCACAGCAGATGCAGGCCAGCGCAGCGCGGGTGTAGGCATATTCCTTGCACCGTGGCTGACTAAGGATGCCTCCATTTCTGCTTGCACTTGGTCGCCAGGGCGACTATTGCATGTGCGCTGCGAATCAGCCAGACTGACTCTGGATGTGATTGGATTCTATCAACAAGTGCAGCATGCCAAGCGTGGCCCTGCAGCGGAGAGCATCAGACTGAAACACTGGAATCAGCTTAGCAAGCTGGTGCATGGGCTACCCAAGCGGAATCTACTCTTGCTTGGTATGGACGCAAATTCTGTTTGTGACAGCTGTCCAGGCCTGGTGGGACGAGGCGTCTTGAGACAGCCCAATCGTCATGCTGACTTGGATTTCATGCAGCTACTTAGGGAACATGAACTAGTTTTGCTTAATACCTGGGGTAGAGCCAGCCGTGGTCACGCGAGCACGTACATGCATGGCAACACATACACGCAGATAGATTTTGTGCTAACTCGCCGTGTCACAGCTGATCAGACCTCGCGTGCCACACGGCCGATCACGCTGGACCTGGTCCCGTGGCGACTGGGTCCCAAGCACCGGCCACTGGCGGGAAGCATTCCTTTCGTTGCAGGCTGGGCGGTCAAGCATGGTGTCAAGCCGCAAGTTCCGGGCCTGAATGTTCCTGCACTTCGGGAGGCATTTCGGCAGGGTGGAGCGCTGATCACTGAGTGCTTGAAGCCTAGGATTGAGGCACTGCTGGCATCGGCTGCCAACGACAATTCGGGCTCCCTTACACGCCTTAATCGAAGCCTCATGCAACTCTGTGTAGGATTCTTTCCGAAAACCCGTAGCACCCGTAAACCAGCCCCCAAAGTAGGCCTTGAGCTAGAGCAACAGCAAGGTATTCACCGTCTCTGGGAACTTCACAGACACCTCAAGAGTTTCAGAATGGACTCCTTTGCTGTTTGGAAGGCATATGAGGCCGTGCTCCAGCAATATCGCAGCCTCAAGGCTCAGAGTAGGGCCATACGAAGACGACGTCTCGAGCAGCGCATTGATGAAGCTCATCACGCAGCTGAGCGACATGACATGAGTGCAGTGTATCGCATCATTAGGACTCTCGCACCAAAAAGGAGACACCTCAACCTTACTATTCGGTCCAAAGAAGGACACTTGCTGTCACAGCGCCAGCAGTTTGAGGCCATACGCGACTTTTTCCGGGCCGAATACGATCGAGCAGATGACTTCGCAGAGCCAAACCCCAATGCAGCCGTATGCATAAGTGTGGAAGAGGTCCAGCAGGCTATAGGCAATCTCAAGAATAACAAAGCTGTTCCGGGGGATAGCCTGCCTGCCGAAATCTGGAAGCTCTGTCAGGAGTCGTTTGCTGTGTTCTTGCACAGGGTGCTGCAGAGGGGAGTCGAGGAGGGACATGCCTATCCTCGGGAGATCTCGGACTGCTCACTTGCCTTGTTGCCCAAACCGGGCAAGCCTGGCAAGCAGCCGGGCGACCTGAGACCATTAGGACTTCAGGACCCCAGCTCTAAAATCTACGCCACTGTCCTTAAACATAAGGTCACAGAACAGGCCCGGGATCTCCTGGCTAGCCGCCCTCAGTATGCCTACAGCGCAGGCAGGTCTATAGACACGGCCATTACCAGGGTAGCTAGGCATTGTACTCAAGTAAGGGATCACCTTCAGCGTAGCGTGGTCAGCGTCCATGACAAAAGACAGGGTCGCTGCGCTATGGGATGTGTAGGAGGGGCGATGATAGGGTTAGACCTGTCTCGAGCCTTTGATAAGCTCCCGCGCTGGGCACTACAGGCCTCGCTCGAGCATGCTTCCGTTGACCCGGCTGTGTGCCGCGCGGTTATAGCCATTCACGAGAGATGCATGTACACTATCAAGCATGGCCCACATGAAGACAGAATTGCAATGAAGCGTGGAATAAGGCAGGGATGTTCTTTATCGCCAAGTCTGTATTCTATCTTCACCATATGGGTTTTCGATCAGTTATCGGCAATCACGTCGCCAGAATGGGCACAAGCCTGCATCACACTCTTTGCGGATGACTCCCACCTCGCGTGGCTGATTTCGTCTCAACAGGACTTGGATTTTGCCTGTCACTGTATCAGACGCACGGTGGACCTGTTCAGATCCGTGGGAATGGACATCAATCCTTCCAAATCCACGTTTGTTTTGCAGATTAAGGGCAGCACGGCCAAGCGTTGGATACAGGTGCACCAGCAGCAGACGGTCAAGGGACCCGTGATTGATGTCGGTTTACCTCATGCACCGCTGTTGGTCCCACGTGCCAAGCAGATGCTGTATCTAGGGGTAATAGCCTCCTACCAGGGGTTTGAGCTCCAAACATGCAAGCACCGTATGCAGATTGCTATGCAAAACAAGCACCGGCTGCTGAAAGTACTGCATGCCTCCAATCTCACACAGAAATATAGGCTGCGTCTTTACTTGGCTTGCATCAGAAGCACTATGCTCTTTGGGCAACATGCGGTGGGACTGACGCCAGCTGTGCTCTACAAGTTGGAGCAGGCGGATGCTCGAGCGCTCAGGGCCATCTCGCGCTCACCGAGCTTTTTGACCAAAGAAAGCACGGTAGCCCTCCGCAAACGCCTTGATGTCACATCGCCGCGTGAAGCGTTGTGCAAATTGCTGCAGGGTAGGATTAATAAATGCAATGATGGGCCCTCCACATGCTTCTTTCGCGAGCAGCTGCACATCGCCACTGTGCGGGATGCTGACACCAGCAGTGCAACTCTTTTGCCTTGTGCGGAGCAGGAGGGTGTGCCTTGCACAGTCTGTGGGTTGTATTTTATCAACAGGCGGATCATGCTATCCCATCAGGCACGTAAGCATCCCGAGACCTGCAATGCCCAGCCAGTTCTTACCGCAGAGCAATATGCTAGTCAGACTGTGGATGGAATGCCAGGCTGCGTGCATTGTGGTAGGAAGTTTACAAGAGTCGAGGGTCTGAAGAAGCACCTCAGAAAGCAATGCAGAGCGCGCCCGATGGTGCCAGCCGGATGTCCCAACCTGCCTTCACCAGGGGAAGCTGCGGCGAGTGTGGTGGCACAGGTACCCACCCCTCGTGGGGAGCCGCCAAGGGACCGGTCTCCCCATGCAGCTTCCCCTTTGCCGGAACAAGCCCCAATAGGCCCTACTGTAGTACCCGACCCTAAGCCAGTTACGAAGGTAGAGCCTACCACAGGCCTAGTGACTGATGCAGCTTTCAGACAGCAGCTCCGGACATCCTGGAAAGCCACTCTCCGTGACAAGTCGATCCTCAATCGTCTGAAAAACTACTGTGTCCTCTGTGGTCAGTGGGTTGTCATGAAAGGTCCAGGTATTAAACAACATGTACGCCTGATGCATCGCACCGTTCATGATGCACATGCTGTTGAAGCTGCATCTCGCTGCAGCGTGCTGGGCCTTCAAGCCGATTCCCCGTGCCGCTACTGTCAGCTGCCCTGCAAAGCGCCCCGGACGCACATTCCGCGTTGTCCGGTCGTGTTCCAAGCCTCACTCGCGGGCCTGGTTGTGGCTAAGGAAGACCATGAGCGAGGATGCCAAGGCCTCGGCGGCGATGGAGGAGCTTCAGATGGTGCTGGGAGCGGGGGGAATGCAGGCGATGGCGCTGGACGGTCAGCCATCAGCTCCGTCGGGAACGGGGGATCAGAATCAGGAGTCGAAGGACTCTTGGTCGGATCGCGACCGAAAGTGGCGCCGCATGGAATCCGGCAAGGGACCCTCACGCGATGGTTGGGCGGGGTGGGGAAACAAGCGGCAATGGCAGAAGGATGCCGAGGACAAGGAGGAGGCGGTGCTCGACAAGGCGACTCAGGAAGTCATCAAGTCGCTGGTGCAGCTATCCTTGCGGCACGAAGCCGAACTGGGCCGCCTTCGGTCGGATTGCGGGTTCATGCTGTTCCTGGACACCCCTCAGACCAATCCGGCAGCGGGCATCATGCCAGGGGTGAAGGCGGTGGCGGTGGAGTGGTCCCAACAGTTTGCAGCGGGGACCGTGAAGAGCCCACTGCGACACCTGCTGATGCTGGCGATCATCAAAGAACTGCAGACACGATTGACTGCCTTCCTTCAGGACGAGGACCGGTGCGGTCGGGCGATCTCTGCAGGGTGGATGGCCGAGGGCCACAATGCGACGGACTCAGTATGGAATTACTGGGGCTGGAATCCCAAGGAGAAAAGGCAGGAAAAGACAGATCAGCAGCCAATGCAGACGACTGCAGTGCAAGCCCAGCTCCAGCTGTTGGAGGCCAATATTGCCAAGGAAGGAGTCCTGCTGAACTTCCGCAGCACGAAGGACCTGGAGAAGGAGCTAGACCTCGAGGTGGTCCCCTTCATGATCACCGTGGGTCTGCGAGCGCCGGAGTCCCATGCCACTCACCGGGCACTCCAGCTCCTCTGCGGGAGTGCAGTATGCAAGCTCATTGGGGCCAGGATCAGGCCGGAGAGACTTGCGAGGCAGCCGGTGGCAAAACAGCTGGAGGAGAACTACCTGTCCACGCCGTATTGCCAATGGAGCCGCCGCGCTTCCCGCTGAGACCGCCCCCCGGTCTAGGTCGGCCGGAGGAGGCAGCTGGGTCAGAGGGAGCCCAGCTTTGTCTCAGCGTGGGCCCTAGTCGGCCTACACTTCCAATGGCCAGACTCGTCAATAATCGCAACTACTGCTATGTAAACTCCACGGCTCAGGCTCTGTACTGGATGGGTGCGATGTCCAGTCACCCAGCCGGTGCCTATGGAGGTGCGTCCACAAGCCTGCCATTGCTCGCTAAATCCAGTCGCATAAACCTAGTTGATAGCATTGCATGGCGGGGTTTGTTACGGTCATGGCCACAGCCGCTCCAACAACATGATGCAGGTGAGTTTATCAACCATGTCTTGACACTCATTCAGCCCAGCGCTTATTGCGGAAGCTGGGAAGCGAGATTGTCGCACCCACATCGTGTAGTCGACTCAGGCTTGCTGCGCACGCCGATACTACTGCACCCGACCGGGGCCACACTTCCTGAGCTGATTGCGAGCTGGCACATGCAGTATTCTGTGCATGCCCTGCACAGCCACTCGGGGCTTCTTCTTTTTCGACTGGTAAGATACAGCTATGAGCATGACAGTGCCCACAAGAACCAAACACCAGTTTATGTGAGGCCAGGCGAAACAGTAGCAGTGCCGGTGTTTGAGCAAGCTGAGGGACTGAGTGTCCGCCATGAGGCTTTTCGAGTTGCCTTTCAAATTTTTCATCTAGGCGACAGGGTCGACTCCGGTCATTATCAATGTGCCATTAGTGTACCCAACAGCACGATGCAGTCCGAGCAGTACTATCATATTTGTAATGACAATAAGACCCCTCGTAAAGCCAGCCCCCGAGACCTTCAGATAGTGGCTGCCAATAGCTACTTGATAGGCCTCATTCGTTCCAATTAAGAGCCCTGCCCACCTGCCTGACATCATGTACAGTAGTTGCAGTTTGTTGGTTGCTGGCGGCTGCGGCTGCAGTCAGGTGGGCCAAACACAGCACGTGCATATGTGCCGAGCCGGCATCCGATGTGATGTTATCACCGGCCTGCAGTTTGACAAAATTCCGTTTGAGTTCAGTGTCTGCTGACACATTTCACATACTTTCGAGCATTCTAGTATCACCGCTTTCCGTCGCTATAACAAGCACCAGAGCCCGTGATCCCAACTAGTTGGTCGGTTGCTGCAGCTTTCCTTCTCAGCGTCGGCAGCAGCTTCGAGGATCGACCCTCCTGGAAACAGGTGCACATTGTGGGGAGGGTTCAGGTTGATTTCTGTACAGTCTCATTGCTTTCTGACCACCTGGTCCCAGCCACCAAATAAGGCACTGAGCTGCTACCTAGTTGTGCATGCCTCTCCAGCCCGACATGGCTCAGCTTCTGCCTTATCCGCCTGATGTGTACACAGATGCCTTGGAGGAAGCATTGCTGCTCCATGTAGCCACTGGCCTGCTCCGAGAGCAGGGTCACGGAACGCTTCCTCCGGCTATGGGCTTGGCGGTGCGCAATGATATCATTAGTTGGGCGGGGCAAGCGCTGGAGCCGGAAGGCCACGAGGCTTTCATGCGATATGCGCAATCACTAAACCGTCACCTGCGGCGCTATCTGACCACTTACATGCCAGAGCCAATTGGGGAGCCTGGGCCACAGAGTCCCGAAGCGGAGACATTGGCGTGGCACTTTTTGTCGGATGGCAGTGCCGCACTATGGGGCGCGGTAAGGCAAGCCGTTGCTGTCCTGGATTGGCAAGCTGGCCGACATGCCTTCAGTGGCGAGCGCAAAGCCAATGTTACCATGGGGGCGTATAGCAAAGGCCCGCATTGTGGCATATGCAGCGGCACGCGAGCTCATCAGTCCTTCTGCAGACTGGTAAATAGATTCATCAATCATCTTTGTCCTCAGCTTGTCTGGACCACTTTTGCTCTGAATCTGGATACTCGTATGCCCCCGCATCGTGATCAGGGGAATGCGCCAACAGGAAGTCTGCTCACCTGTCTCACTCACAATGAGGGGGGTGAGCTATGGCTGGAAGATGGCCAAGGCCAATGCTACAATGATACTGAGGTGGGCATGCGTTGTGGAAGGATAATCAGGCTGTCCATGCAGAGCCTACTGTTTCCCGCCCATGCAATGACTCATTGTACATGTGATTGGTCGCTGACCAACCGAGTCACGCTGGCAGCTTATTGCATAGGTACGGTTAAGCACCTCAAAAATGAGGATAAACTTCTTCTGGAAGAGCTAGGTTTCTGTCTCCCGGCGTAGCCCGTCGACACCCGCTGCACATCAGGAAGCTGCCTACACACTACACACCCCGCCCGTCCGGTTCCCCTTAGGGGTTAGGACTTTTTCCCTGTGGTGTTAGGTTAGCCCAAAGGACAGCCAGACCGAAGCACGGAGTTGCCAGACCTAAAAAGCCTTTTGCTGACATCCTTCAAACTCTGCCAACACTGCCAGCATACACCAACTAATGCTGCTGACTGGACAGGTGCTCATGGCCAATCGGGCGGCATCCGTGGCGATGGAGGTTGGCGCAGCTTACAGTGCAACACCCTATCGGATCTGTCAGGTGCCGGGGTGTGGAAGGGCTATACACACGGCAGGACATTCCAAGTGTTGCTCAGCCTGCCCTCTTGGTCGTCATACTCGTCGATGTCAGCATGGTCATTGGGCAGGCGAAAGGATGGGAACCAGCAGGTGCATAACGGAGGGCTGCGTGCACATGGCTGGCCCAGGGCACATCAGCTGCTGCTCTTTGTGCAAGAGGACGGGAGGGCAGCAACATACCATCCAGTGTGCACATCGGCAGACGAGGCGTGTGCAGCGAGCACCACCAAACCTGCATCAGACCACTGGAGGTGTGACGTCAGGTGCGGCCCAAGATGACACCACCCGTGTTGGGGCCCGGGTGGAAGTCATCGATCTGGAGGCGCCAGACGAGCAAACCGGCATCGGCTCAGCGCAAGGAAGTGCGGACATGTCAGCAGGTGTGGCTGGAAGCATGCCGAATCATCGCAGCTCTACCAGGGGAAGCGATGTTGGTGTGGAGGCTGCAGGGAACTCTAGCTCGCTCGCCACCTCTCGCAAGAGGGCTGGTGGGCAGCTGGATTTCCAGATGATGGACTGAGCCCTAGCCGACCTTTCTTGGGTTGCGAAGCTGACGGCGACACAATTTTGGTGATTGAAGGAAAGCTCGGAAGTTCGATGGGTGTGATCAAGCTTCTTCAATGGAGCAGTTGGTAGATGTTATGCCATAAGGATCCTCAATTGCAGGATGCAGCCACTGAGCTGCCGGGCTATGCCTGCCTTTCGTC